TTTTTCTTTTTTTTTTTTTTTTGGCTTTTTCACGTGATTTCCCCAGTCTTGACTCAGCAGTTTCCCTCAGCAGCGTTTATTGGTTTGGTTTCCTGCCACCACCTCCCCCGGAAAGCGGCAGCCCGGGAGCGCCCGGATTGCACGGACGGGTTTGCTGGGAGCTGTCCGTGTGCTGCCCCGGGGCTCGCACAGCCCGAGGTGTCACCCTGCTCCGCACAGCCCGAGGTGTCACCCCGCTCCGCGCAGCCCGAGGTGTCACCCCGCGCCGCACAGCCCGAGGTGTCACCCTGCTCCGCACAGCCCGAGGTGTCACCCTGCTCCGCGCAGCCCGAGGTGTCACCCTGCTCCGCGCAGCCCGAGGTGTCACCCTGCTCCGCACAGCCCGAGGTGTCACCCTGCGCCGCGCAGCCCGAGGTGTCACCCTGCGCCGCGCAGCCCCGCGCTTCCCTGCGCCGCGCAGCCGAGCGCTCAGCGCACGGCTGCGCGCTGGGGCTGTGCGCGGAGGGAAACTCGCCAAGAGCTGCTGCCACAGTCCCGAGAAGGTCCCTGTGCTTCACACCCCTCTGCCAAGTGAATCTGCAACCTCTCTGGCCGGCATGAATACATTCCCCTTTCCACCTCTTCCGCGTGAAATGGAATCAAATCCTTTCTCTGCCTCCTGGGAAGGAATAATTGGTTCTGCCATAATCTTTTCCCTGAAAGAAAACCACAGGAATTGCCCTTTTGCTTAGAGATATCTAAAAGAATAAATAAAAACACATTAGAATAAAGTCATGATTACTGCATGTCCTAGGGATTATCTCTTTCTTCTTTTTATCACAACCTCTGCGCTTCTGCACCAGGAATCAGAAACATGAAGTTACTCAGTGCTTCATTAAACAGTGACACTGCTTCTGACCACACACATCCATCAACTTTGGCAAATCCCTGGGCTAAGAAAAGTTTGATTACAGAAATAGTATCTAAACTGCTGAAACTGCTAAAGGATTCACAAAGGATTAAACATATGATGCAAATGAAATTAGGCATGAAATTATATTCCTCAATGAACTTAAGCTTTAAAAAGAAATTATAATGTTTTGATATTTGCTCTCAGTACATGTCAGTACCATTTTAAAACAACTGATATCAGGCAGTATAACATACAGTAAAACTGTAATGCTGCACAGAAACATCATAGTCCTCCTCCTCACATCCAGCAATAAACATAAGGAATGTGAATGTTTTAGAAAACCAGGATCAGCTTGCCATCCATCAGTGGCTCCCAGAACTGTGCCAGCTGCAAAATCATTTCTCTCTACTAAGCAAGAGGGTAAGGCATTTTCTCTGCATTATGGTAATAGTCATTCACTCTTCTCTCATTAAAGGAAAACAGCTGAGAATGTGAGTTTGAGTTTATGCTATTGATGTACAACTATCACCTAAATTTTATTAAAACTGCCACAATCAATAAAGAACTTACTCATTATAAATAATATGCAGTTGATATTTGTTCGGGGTTGAATCCTACAAGCACTGAATATAATAACTTATGGAATTAAGGAGGAATCAGACAACATTTGACCCCTAACTACTAAACTTTAAGGACAGCTGAAGGATTTGTTAAACATAAGAGGAACAGAACTTCATTTTGCTCTCTCCAGAGCTACAAAGAAGAGATAGGCCTTGGGAACTGCCAAAAATTTCTCTGTTTAGGGAGAACAGTGCCAAAATCAAGCTTCTGTCAGTTGGGTGGCAAGAGGAGAATACCACTGTGAAAATGCTTTTACATTGCTTTTAACAACCTTTTATCACATCCAGATGGCTGGACCATGTGAGCTTTGTGGGACAAACCTCTTCCTTTACACAAACACGAGGTGTTTGTACCAACTCCTCAGAGGTGGAATTTGATCTTTTGGTCTCCCCAAGGATTCCACAGAGGGCAGAAACCCCTTGGGCAGCCTTTGTGGTTGTCCCATCGCTTCCTGCACCTGCAGGTGCATCAATCCCCCTGTGACTCTGTGACAGTGACAATAAACCACCAGCTCAGTCCACCAAGATTATGTAAAATGTTGTCACACCCCCACATGCCTGTGACAGGCAGGGATGGAGTGCAGGGAAGGTGAAGTAACCAGATGCAAACAGAGAAATAATCTGTTTTCTGGTATTAATGATGATATTTCTGGTGCAAAGCAAGGTGTTTTCCATTCTGCTAAATTAAATAAACTATACTGTTCTTTTAATCCCACATCACTTGCTATTTTTCCTGTGTTATTACACAGAAAAGGATTTGCTTGTTATGATTGCTGCCATTAGATTTCATTTCAAGCTTCACTAAATTGGCATAAAGGAAACAAGTTAATCAGCCTTCCCATTATGTCTGCAGAACATCTACTTGGTTCAGAGCCCATTTCCTACCGTGGAAGCAAGAGATCCAAATATTCAGAATTCTTCACTCAGAACAAGGGAGTGTTGGAACATATCAATGTATATTCATAAGTCCTGAAGTAAATACTCCAGCAGATACAAAAGGTGCCATTCCACTGCATGACCTACCTGAAAAGACCAATTATTTTCTCCTTTTCCAATTAATTAAAGCTTAATTCAATGTCTGTCTCCTAATAGTTAAATCCTCCTAATTTGATTGCTCCTAACTCCTTGTGAGATCACGTTTTAAAAACAGAACTTTGTACTAAAGGAGTGAAGCCTGAGGAAATACAAAATTCCCAGAGCAAGACTCTCCCTTATCCTCTGAAATTGTGGATTTCAAGCCCCATTCTTTGTGGTGGAGCTGAGAAAGTCTTGCTGCTTTCAGAATTTGTGGTTTCATCTGTGCTGCTGTTACTGACATTTCCCTCCAGCCTACAGCAAGTCAGTTATTAAATATAAAATGTATTTCTTCAAATAAATTTTTGGTAATTAAGCCCAAAGGACAAATACAAATTTACTCTTTTGAAATTATGGGAATTTGAGAGTCACATGCAACCATGCTTACACAAGTGCACGTGCAGGTATGTAACACAAGTGGTGAGGGGGCTCTAGCACAGAAAGAAATGCAAAGAAGCAGTGAACTTCTCTGACCACAACAGCTCTTGCATGTGGGACCTTCATTTGATCCATGCCCTGGTTTCTGTGCGGCCCTGACATGCCAGCTTTGGTTTTGTGACACTGTGCGAAAGTACAGGATTGCAAGCACACAACTGAGAAAATTAACTGCCCTTCGATAACAAATGGCATTATTTCCACTTCCTCCAGACGGCATAACTGCTTTCCTATCAGCACCATCTTCACTCCAACTGTCTCCTTATCAGGTCAGTGCGTTTTATCATCTTCTTCAGACTTCATCTTCTTCTCCCATGGCTGGGGATGCCTCTTAGAACCCGACCATTCAAAATGCTCAGTTCTTCCACAGCATCACAGACAGGAATATGCCATTCCAGAAAGGCCTTTCCTTGCTGAGCACAGAGCTCCGTCTCCTCTGGCATCTTCTGGCTGTCTCCCAGCCTCAATGCCTTCTTCCATTTCCCCTTTCTCTGCCAAGCTTGTTTTGCTTGGGTGTGGGGTTATTGGGGTTTTTTCCCCCTAATCAACAGTGTCAGGGTGCCATCCAGCACCCATCACACTTTATTCCACCTTTCAGACCCAAATCCACTGAGTTTTTAGTGCAGCCGTCTTCTCCCCGCTCCACAGCGCAGGTTCTCCTCTCCGTGATGTGCACCAAGCTCCTGTTTTCCCCATCGTTTCCCGCTGCACTTTCTGCCTCTCAGCCGCAGCGGAACCGCGCTGAAGCTCCGGGTGCCGGTGCCAATCGCTCCCGCCGCAGGGCCGTGTCCGGAGGGGTTTGTGCCCGGCGGAGGCACCGAGCCCCGGCCACCCGGGAGGGCGGCCGGCCGGCAGCGACGGCCGCCGGGACACCGCGGCCACGTCGGACAGCTGCGCCGAGAGCCGCTAACCCTTCGTGCTTATTGCCAACGCGGCCATTACCTTTGGTCTTTTATTTCTTTTTTTTTTTCTCAGTGAAAGCCTCTCTATTAAACTCCCCTGGATGTGCATCTCTTGTAAGGTGCCCCTTCACAGAGCAGAGCAACGCCAGTGCACACCGCAAAAACCGCCGAGGGCCAGAACAAGCCGCGGCTACCCTGCCCCTGCAGAGGCCATCGCGGGGCACCCCCGCTGCCGCCGCCGGTACCGCCGCCGGACGGGGAGCGGAGCGGAGCGGAGCGGATCACAGCAGACCCGCCCGCCCGAGGCGGCGCGCGACGAGCGGCCCGTCCGCGACCCACGGAATCGAGCGGCGGCGCCGAGCGGCGATTGGCGGCGCGCGGGCGGCCCCGCCCCGCCCCTCACATGACCGCTAGCGAGCGTTTTGTCGCGCCCGCTCGCTCCGGCCGCTCGCCGTGCCCCGGTGTCCCCGCGGGCAGCAGCGGCACCGCCACCGCCGCCATGGGCCCGCGCCGCTCCGCCGCCTCCTCCTGCGGCCGCCTCCTCCTGCCGCTGCTGCTGCTGCTCGGCGCCTCGGGTGAGCGGGGCAGCGGCGGGGCGCGGGGGAGGGGAGCGGGTGGCGGTGTCCCCGCGGGCGCTGCCCGCCCCGTCACGCACGCGGCGCGCGGGCACCGGGGGGTCCCGGAGCCGCCTCGGCCCCGCGGCGCCTCCCGGGGGCGGCCCCGGGGCGGAGGCGCCGCCGCTGCCGCCCCCCCGCGCGGCCACCCCGGCAGGGAGGGGCGGCGGGGCCGGCAGCCGCGGGCGCTTCCGCCGGGGGCCGCGGCCCGGCCCGGCCCGGCCGCTCGGTCGGCGCTTCTCGGGCTCGGCAGCGGCCGTGCCGGGAGCCGGGAACACAACAGCTGCGAAAAGTTCTCCTAAAGCGCAGGGGGGATTTATTGCCCGTGTCTCTGCGAGCACAATGAAGGCGTGCCGTCCCGTCTCGGGGGTCAGCGTGGCTCCTGATCGCGGACACAACACGTGAAATAATAGCCGCTGGTCTGCGGGCAGCGCGTTGGTCAAGCGCTGTGTTCACGTCCTTTGGTTTGCCCACTGTGTCACCAGACAGCTGATGCTTATTCAGAGAGTCAGAATTCTAGGTTGGAAGGGACCTCAAGGATTGGCGGTCCGGCCTTTCTTGGCAAAGACACGGTCTAGACAAGATGGCCCAATACCCTGTACAGCCAATGTTGGGCTGTCAGTGCTTTGAGAATATTGTTTGTGTTAGATAAACAGATTATAAAACATTCTCTCGATTTTTGCCAGCTTTGACAGTTTCGTGGTGTGCTTCCTATTTTTGGTACTTTTTAGAAATTTAGCCATTCTTTCACTGTCTGGTAAATTGAATGTGGTCCTGACATAATTTACTGCTTTGTGATGAGCTGTCCTCTTAAGTGGTTCTAGAAAATGAAGAAAAAGCAATGTCTTAATAGCTAATAATCATATCTTACAGGTTTTTTCCAGTCCTATGCAGTTGAAGTAGATATAAAGGATGCTTCTAATGCTACATGCCTGTATGCAGATTGGATGATGAGGTTCTTGATAAAATATGAATCAAACAATGGTGATTATGTAAGTATTTGGGAGTAACTCTTGCTGAGAACTGGATTTTGACCTGGATAAAAGTTTTAAGCTCTTTTTCTTAGGGTATTTGATTTCTTACTTTTTTTTACAAAGTCAGTTGAGAAGAGTATTCCTATATTGTCCTTATAAAATAAAGAATAAGTTCTCAGACATACAAGTGACTGAAAGTACTCTGTTGCTCTTACTTAAATGATGTGCACAAAACTCAGAGTCTAACCAGTATCAGTGTAGTTATGTTCTTAGC